AGATAACTCATAAGATTAGGAACCCAGCTGTTGGGTGACTGCCCTTTGACGTGACCAGACTGGCAGCCTGCAGTGCTGTGGTGTTTTATGTGGCACAAAACTTTGCTGAAGACCAAGTTGTTACTCTGAAAAGTATTGTTTCAGTCTTCTCTTACTATGTGGGTTAAGATATTTTCAATGCAAGGATTTTTAGGGCCCCATCAAATACTTCTATTGCTTGGCTCTCTATAGTTAATCTTTACAATTTTGGGTATTGTGTGTTTTATTTATTATTACTACTATTGCCGTTTTTGTCAAAAGATGAAGCATCTTCCTTAAAGCAATGCTTGTTTCATTCTGCAAAGAAAAACAGAATTAGGCAAAATCCCCAGGAATTAGCTAAAAATGTTCTAAAGGAACAGCAAAGTAGGTTATTAATTAAGTGAAAATTGAGGTCAGTTTGAAATGGGGTCCTCACAATCAGAGGGAAAACAGAGGCAGTGCAAAATTTTATATCATATCCAAGGAATGTTATGTTTCAGTGTTCAGGGCAGGGGAAGGAGGAGTATCCAATTCTTTGGGGAACTTATTCTTTGGACTTTAGTGTGGTTGCTGAAAGTGCTGGGACCATGTAGCGTCTCTGTCCATCTGCTTGTCCTCTCCTCGTAAACCAAATTCCTCCAGTCTCAGGCAAATCCAGAGTGGGACAGAAGTTTCAGATTAACTCTTCCAAAATGGGATAAAAATCATTGGATGAGCAGAGAAAAGCTACTCAAGCAAACACACTCTGGAAGAGAAAGGAAGAAGCTTTCTTCTTTCCCTTTTGCTCCAAAATTGGCAGCATGCTCGGGGTAGCAGTCTCAGGTGGTGAGAGGTTTGCAGCTTGGGGCTGGGAATCACTCTAGGGGATCAACTTTGTTTCATCTGTTGCTATAGGAGAGGCTGCCTGTATTAAATATTCCTGCTGCTTTATTTGCACATGCACACAGATTATCTGGAGAGTACAGGGGATTTGGTGAGCACCAGAGGCAAGGAAATTGTGTTTGTGTACCTTCAGACTGTGCTGCCAGTGGAGCCTCTGATATGATATAAAGGCTGAGTTCATGCTGTCTTCTCTTCCTTAGCAAGGGCACTGAAGGTCTATCCTCTCCTCAGATGTCTATGTTTATGAAGTGTGTAAAGAGGTACTATTTTGTGTGAGCCACCTTCTCTCAGTTTGGTTAAAAGTGGCTTTAAAACTGGTTAAAACTGACTTAAAATCCACTCTTGTGCATTAGGGCAGGGGATCACGTGGATACGGAGATATATGCAACCTTTGGCTGTGTTGTCTTGCTTCCTTAGGAAGTGGAGTTATCTTTAGAAAATAAGAATTAATGTATGCTTCTCACAGGATGATAAATATCTGACTGTGCACAATAGGCAAAGTCACCTCTTGCATACAACTGTGATGGCAACACCAGCTGCAATGTCAAATGTGAGGGGAAGGTACTTTTGTTTTGTTTCTTTGTTGGTTTGTTGGTTTTATCTGTCTCAAAAAAAACCCCTGCCTTGCTTGGAATAGAGACTTGCTCTTCTTTGATTGCTGATGAAATCAAAAGTGCTGTGTGTGAGTGGAGGAGCACATGATCTGACTGCAATATAGCTTCAGAGAGTGGTTTTGCATGGATTTATATCCTAGGAAGCCAACATCTTTCTGTGCCATACTCTGCATGTTTTATCATCAATTAATATTCCTTTCTGCCATGTTTCATGTCTTGATTCAAAGTGGTGGAAAGTACCAGCATATTCTGGAAACAAAAGAAGGAGGTGAAAAACCTCTCCAGATACTGCAATTCTCCTGCCTCTTTGGACCAGGTGAATTTTATATAACAAATGCTACTGAACACAAAGTTTCCATTGTCTATGCCTGACTGTGTTCATGTAATGTCCCTGCAAAGCAAGCAGGGGCATCACTGCATTGCTGGAATTGGAATATTAATGTAATTGGACTCTTGCAAAGCAATTTACTTTATGGTGCTAATAGTCTGACTTCATCCCATTAGCATCAAGACCAAGCACCTATTGTTCAAGTCAGGCACACAATCCACTTGTTATGAAGAGATTTTATCGATATAGGCAGAAGAATAGGGAAATAGCAAGATAAAGAGTTAAGTCAACAGGGAAACAGTATAAAATTTTCTCCAAGATATTCACTTGTTTAATGGAAAATCCCAAAGACAAAGGAGTTACAGTTTTTCTGAGATAGGAAGACAGAGTCTCAGTGATGTGGGGAGGCTATGGACTTTTCTAGGAGCTCCAGGAAATGAGGGAAACTCCTGAATGCTGGGGATGTTCCTAGGAGACAAATTGCTTCTCTTTCACAGTAAGCATAGCAAGGGTCATGGCAGGGAAAATTACCCTGCTAGGAACATCCCACTGTGGATAAATGGAGGCATTGAAACACCAGGAAGAAGGAGAGGGCTGGCTTCCAAGAAGTGGCATTGGAGGAAGAAGAAAGTCATTTGGTACACCTGATAAAGGAGTTTGTTCAGAAGCAGAATTGTCCTTGTTCTTAGTCCTGTGTCCTTGTGGTTTGCTATTGCCCTTCTTTCCTTTGAATGCCTCCCCTTGGGTGAGCAGCTCAGGAGCCCATGGAAGGAGCAGATAAAACGTGGTTGTGCACCAGTTCCTTTGCCCAAACCAATGGTTTTGGACAGCAAATAATCCCCTTTGCATTAGGTAAACTCTTAGTGAAAAACCTCTGTTCTAGTTTGGTCTCAACACTCCCGTGTGAAGGTGCAGCTTCCCTGTGAGCTTTGCCTGTCCCGGCATAACTGCATGCATGGGAGCCCTGTGGTAGATGATGATCCTAGAGACTCAAATCATCCCCGTGTTTTAACTGCAGAATTTAACCTGAGCACTAACACAGCGTTAGAGACATAGAGCTGTACACCCTGCATGTGCTGTTAAGGCACACAGGCCCAGAAAAGCTGGCTGCTGGTGGCCTCTCTGCAGCTCCTTTGTGGCATGTCCCCTCCTGCAAGAGTGCATTCCCCTCAGGGACAACAGCCCAAAGCAATTGTGGGCAGGGGTGCAGGGTGGGTGACAATGGATTGCTGGGGCGTCACTTCCTGCTCTGCTGGGCTCAGCACCCTTGGTCAGACTGACCACCCCCATCCTGCTGTCCCTTGGCAGGGTGCTCCTGGCTGCCTGCTGCTGGGGGCCATGGCCTGCTCTGCCTCTGCTTGCCCTGGTTTGTGAGTGAGGGGAAGGCAGGACACAGGAGCCATGTGGGTTGTTGGAGCTGCAGTGCTCGGGTGGACTGTGCCCCGAGGGCACTCTCATCTTGGGGAGTGCCTGACATTCCCTTCACTGAGTGGGTCAAGAGGTCCATGGAATAAGGGTTGGTCCTAGCCTCAGGATGTCAGTCCATCTCTGCAGTCACTCCCTGCTTTCCACAGGCTTGTATTGTATTCCCTTGAAAGAGGCTTTCTGGGAAAGCACAGCAATTCCCACACATCATGCTGCCACAGTTCAGGGCACGATCTGCAACTGTAAGTGTGTTCAAAATCTATGTACTGCAGAGGGTCCTCTCTTCGGGACTGGCATGTTGACATCTAATTTCCTTCCACAGAGAAGTCTAGGGAAATGGTTTTTGTTAGAGACAGGCTTGGAAAAATGCTGATGAAGTGAAACACAAACATATTGTGTTGGAATTTTCATGGGAAAATTTTGCTGAAGGGTTGCAGCATGCCTGGAATGCTTCTCTCAGTACTGATCCTCTTACTCCATCTTGTATTCATATACTGTGCAGCAATAACATTCCAAATGAAACATTTTAACTTCAGCTGATTAAAAATTAAGGTCAAAATGGAACATGTATAAAGCCTCTTAATTTTCAACTTTATTCACAAGCTGGGAAAACACTGTATTTTGCAACCTTGGTATTCCCTACTGGCAGCGGCTCAAATGTGTGACCACTGCTGGAATTTCTGTTTCTCTTTCCAAATGAAACGTATTTATTTCCTCCTCTCCCTATTGTTACTAATGAATCAAACAGCTTTGTGATCACATGCTGGTGGAATTAAGCACCGATAAAAGAGCCAGAACAACATAATATTTACTTGGTTTCCAAGTAGGAAACTAGTGAAATTTTATTATAATGAAAATGTAGAATATCTTGGAAGAAACTGCAGGCATTAAACACAGAAATATGAATTAACATATTTGAAACAGTCTAGATGGTGTGTGGAAAAATCACCCCTTAAATTCGTACTCAATAAATTTTTGTTGCATAGTGTATGGTTTTGAATCAATACAGCTTGTAATTCAGCTGGTGAAAATCCTCAAATTTTTGATTTAATCTTTATAACAATGAAGTGGAGAATTAAGCCCAGTTTGTAATTCTCTTGCAAGAAGGGTGTGGTAAAGACAGCATTGCAACTCTTCTCCAAGTTCTCACAGCAGTGTAGGGACTTAAAAAAAATCTATTTTAAATGCAAGCTCCTGGATTTAAAGGATACTTTCTGTGGAGGAATTTTTTCTGTGGTTTATGGTCAGAACCTTTAGCAGCCCAGTATGGGCCTCATGGTAAGCAGACATACACCTCCTTTTTCTTCACTTGTGGATATTGGCTGGTGAACTGATCCATAAGTGTGCATATATCTATGGACACACACACATACATATATATGGTAAACTTAAAATAATACATAATTGTACACAGTTGTGTGGAATATTGTACATTCCAGAAGGCTGAGATCGCTCTTATCTTCTCTGAATGCTGTTATTAAAACATGGAAACCAACACCCATTCTCTGGGCCTTTACATCCCTGGTGGCTAGCACTAGGCTTGCTGGGAGGTGAGGGAAAACTTGGCTCCAAACCCAGACGTGATCTCCCTGCCAAAGGAAAACCCATGTGCAGCCTGGGCATGCAGGGTGGGTGGAAAAGGATATGTGCTTCATAAAACTTGTTACTAATCCACTCCCATAAACTGATAGGATTGTTATCAAGGTAACTGGCAGTGCAGGGATATTTTAATCGTTTCGAAAATGCCAAAAATTCCCCTGGCTTTCCCCCAGTGGTTGTGGTTAGATTATGTATGAGGTTTTTGACATTATTTACCCAGATGAGGGAAGGATTACATAAGAGGGCTGCAAGCCTATAAAAGTGTCCTCACTTGGCACAGACAGGAACCAGGTTAGACTTTTTCAAAGGCAGCTGAAACCTGTAGCTGCATAGAAAAAAAAAAAAATCAGAAGAACAGAACTTCTCTGGGAGATAGACACTAAGATTACTTTGCATAGAACTATTTCTCATGTTTTCTTCTGATAGTATTCCCAGTTGGACAGAAAGCACCTGAATCTGCTTGGATGATGAACAGGAGAAAGCATTCCTGGGCAGCCATTGTGGGAGGAAACAAGAAGGGGGAGAAAATGGCTGGGGAAAATGCAAGAATGCTGCCCAAGGCCACACGTGAGGAGAGAAAGAAGCAGGAGGCAAAGAGGAAAGAGAAATTGAAAACCTTGGCTGGCAAATTGCTGAAGACTGCGGTTGGTGGGAAGGAAACGGTGGAGAAGGCTGGTGCTGAGGATGTGGCAGGGAATTTGCTGAAGAGGCCAAGCAGTAGGAAAGGAGTGGAGAGAGGGCTGCCTGCAGGTAACCTTGAAATTATCTCTGGGTCCAGGCCTGGATCTTCTCTGCCCTTCCCTTCCATCAGGCTCTTGTTTTTCATCAGCTTCTGGATTAGGTGCTTTCCCCTCTCCTGCTCCCCAGCCTTCACCTGAATTCTTGTCTTCTGAACCCTACACTTGCTACTCTGGACAGTTCTGTATTTTACTTTTTATTTGCTTCACAAATGTTTCTCTTTATTGCTGTTCTTATTTTTATCTCTGCAAAGCCTCCTGATGTGTCTTGTGAGAAAGAGGATGCACGTGTGACTGACACCCCAGCCATGTGACTGTACTCTTCCTCCACAGATGGGAGGGGGAGGTGGGCTGCACACAGGCTGGTTGTGCCAATTAAACTTTTCCCATGTGTTGCATTCATCAAGGCAGGATGGGTGCAGCTTGTAGGCCCCTCCCAAATAACTTGCCAATTGCTTTGCTGAACATCCTTGCATCAACCCTTCTCCATTTCATGCCATGTTCCTCCCTCCAGTCCTGTTTGATTTAATTCTTACTTCACATATGAGATGCTTTCGTAGAGGAAGGCTAGGAAGGATATAGGCAAAATGTAGTGGAAGTTCATACTCCATTCTTCACTCTGCATCCGAAGTTGTATCCTGAATTATTTAAGTCCCACTGCTTCTGGCATTACTTAGCTATCCCTGCATTCTCATCAAGTTCAATTTGTCCTCTGGGCTCTGCTCCAGATACCTTTGGTAAACCTTAACCCTTCGTTGCTCAACCTTTAACACATGATAAAAACCCTGCAGCTCTGTGCTTCTGTTGTGAGAGTACATTTAACTCTTGTTGTTTGATGGGATGTGTTAGGTAACATACATTGGAAACAAGCAGCACTTAAAATCTGCCTTCCAAGGGAGCTTGCAGCACTTTGGTCCTGCCAGGGTTTCTGTAGAGGAGGCAGAGAATTCCTTCCAGACTTAACTTTCAGCTGTTGGCTTGTTCAGAAGATGTCCCTCCGTTAATGCTTTTCTTCTGGACAGAAGGTACATTTATTATGAAAAGGTTGTAATTAATGAACCTTCATTGCTCACTTGAGGAGGTCTCTGGAACAATGTCAGAAAGCTGCAGACTAATCTGCAGGGTTAGTTAACCTGGAGGAGAAAGGCGGAAAGAAATTTAGAAACAAAAAGTGCTTACCTGAGGAAACTGAGAGGTGATAATGCTAGATCTTAAGTGGGTTGATCTTGAGTAGATCCTGAAGAATTCTGGAATAGATATAAACTAGATACTTCATAACTTGGATGTTAAAATTATGGTCCTATAGATGTGAACAAACAGCAAATTTTGTTCTTATTCTGTTGCAGAGGAAACCATCTGCAGATTCATTGAGCAAGGAAAATTTTTGGAAGCTTGTGATCAAATTCATAATCTGGAGCATTCTGGAAGTGATGGTATGGGGAAGTCTGAATCACTTTATGTGCTGCTGGCTGAACGAATGTGGACTGTAGTGGGAGAAGCATTGGGTGGAAGTGATAGGATGCTCCTGGAGCCATTGCAGTCAGTGGGGGAATCACTGAAGTGGGAGAAGCAGAAGGAAGCAGAGCGGCTTGGCAACGGCCTAGAGACAGATTCTGTTTCCACCTGGAGCCCAAACTTCTGGAGAAAAGATCTGGAGGAAAAGCTAATGCAGTACATGACTGCCCAGATCCCCCTGTTTGCTTCCTCTGCTAACACAGATGAGACTGCACTAAAACAACACCTGAGTCATCTGGAAATGACGTTTCTCCCCAGTCTGGAGCACAGAAGTGATGTCTTCAAGGAAGCAGGATTGCTCGTCACCTATGCCCGCTGCTGTCATGCCTCTTTGTGTTCTCACCTGGCCACACTTACTGACAGGAACTGTTTCAGCTTCAGCCAAAGCCTTTTAATTCATGGATGGATCATTAAAATGTACAAAAGGTATGTCTGAAGGGCTTTCTTTCTACATTTTTCTATATATATATATTTTTTTATTATTTCTGAAAGCAGTCCCTGCTTCCTGATAACACAATGGTGATCAGGACTCTTGCTGAGTTTAGGTTTCCCCACTGCCTCTTTTATCTTCTATGCTCTCAGAACCAGAGCTTTTTTTCATTGCAGTACTGCCTCATTTTAAATCCTTAATACTAGATTCAGGGGTTTACCTGAGGTGGGCAGGTATTTTTCTGCTGGATTGCTGTTGGACATGCACAATTTTTTGCTTTATTGAACAATTTCTTTCCTCATATCAAGCCTTTTTAACAAGGTCCATAACACTCCAATTACCCCAGAGTAATTTTCCCTGGCCTTTATGTCATCATGGTGCTCTATGGATTTCTCTTGTACTGCCCTTCTCTTGTTCTCCTGCTGCTTTATCTGGTTTGTAGTTTTCCCAGTTGTTTCTGTATTTGCTTCATTAGTGTTCAGATCACAGGAAAAACATGTAACAGATCATTAAATTCCTGCCCAAGTTTGAGGAAACAGATACAGCTTTCCCTCTGAAGAGTGGCACATCTGAGACCCTTTGGCCCAATGTGAATTCAAAGCCTATGGGTATCATCAAAGCCTGAAACTTTCTTGTGATTTTTCTTTTTTATGGTGGATGAGGCATTTGATTCTCTGTGTCCATGATTTAATTGCTACTCGGCATCTCCAATCTTCTTAATAGTTCTCAGCCTTTTTGGATTACTTGATTGCTTTCATCCAAGCCCACAGCTTCTCTGTTCCTTGTATTAATTACACTTATAAACCCTTGATTAGCTCATTAGTAGTTCATCAGGTGGTCTCTTCCCCCAGACAGCTCCTGAAGGAGGGAAGCAGTGTGGTGGGTACATGCTGGTCATCATCAGGCACATGGTAGATGTGGTCAGGAGGCAACCCTTTTACTGCTTTTAAAATGGTAAAACTCTGGAGTAAAGGATTGATGAAACATTGAAAAATTTAATAAAATTGGAGGTGAAAAATAATGTAATTTAATTATATAAAGAAAAGGCAAATATAAGAAAAAATGTATTCTATAAATGCAAAATTCCTTCAAGAAAAAAAAACCCAAACAAGTAAGACAGTGACTCTCTTAGTCAGATGGTAGTGAAAAAAGTAGAAATGAGAAGAGCAGAGATGCCAGACTTCAGCATTTGACTTTTTCTCTCTAAATACAGTTACAACCTCTATGGAAGCTTGTGCATAGATGTGGTTGTCTTGGTCTATAGCTGCTTCCTATTCCATTCAAAAAGAATATGTGACATTTGCAAAATTGTTTATTCATGCAAATGGCAAGTGTGCTTGGGAGACTCTCCCCAAGCTTAAAAAGGATTTGAGCAGCAGCAGTGAGGGAAGGGGAGAGGGGAACAACAAGACAAACCTTACCTTGGGCAGCAAATGTAGGAAGAAGGAAAAGAAACAGCACAAAGGAAAAGCTGGCAAAAGGCCATTGTAAAGATCATCTGCTGTGCTGTGGCTGCCCAAGCTTGGCAAACACTGCTGGGCTCTTGCAGGGCACCCTGTTTGCTCAGTGTGAGGCCGGGGTGCCAGGCAGGGGTGCCAGGCGGGCGATGGACCCGTGGGAAGCTGTCCCTCGGGCTGAGCTCTTCTTTCTGTCCACAGAGGCAGCCAGGCATGTGAGAGACCCGGGCACAGCCCCCAGCACAGCCTTTCCCCTGGTGCACAGTGCCTCGTGTGGATTCTCTGGAAGACTGAGGAAAAGCTACTTGCAATCGCACGGGTAAGAACTCAGGAGTGGTACCCCAATCTGCTGGGATTTTTTTTCTTGTGGTTTTAATCCAAGGGGTGCCCTTGTTAAATAGCCAGCTCTGCTCAGGGATGTGTGAGTCCCAAGGTCTCCATCTTGACAGAGTTTTATTGCAGAGCCCAGGTGTGATGATCCATATAATTGTTTGCTGCCAAAGGGAGGCTGCCCTGTCCTTGCTCCTTAGCAAGGAAATGTTGGGACATTTGCAAATCTCTCTTCATCCCATTGCTGTATATTCAGAGAGGTGCAATCTGCTCTGCTCAGAAGCCCATTTATCCGGAGGAAAGGGACACTATGGGTGAAACCCACTTCCTTATTGAGGACCATTTCAAAATGTTGCTCGTCTTCTCTCCATCTGTTAATGATCTCATAGTGTGCAACAGTTGGGGTTTTTTTACAGCCCCTTTTCCTCAGCTGTGCAGGATATTGAGGCTGCTAAGTTCATCTGTGTGTGGATCCCTCACAGTCCTCTCTAGCCTGTTGGACTGACACCGCTGATGTTAGAGCAAAGATTATTTCCAGAGCTCAGCACAAGAAAATGTGCAGCTGGTGCCCACCCAGCAGCCCTCCATAGAGAATCCTGTCTTGTGATCCCACAGGTGACCCCAGCCCTGTGGCTGCAGCATCTCTTTCTTTTCTCAGCAAAATTCCCCCTTTGAAGAATTCTGTTGAGACATGTGGAATACAAATGAAGCAGGGAAGATGTGTTGTAGCAATAGGGAGTTCCAGAGGAAACCACTTTATTTGGAAAACTCAGTGGGGCTCCTTTTATTCAGCTAAAGCTGAAATGCAGAAGCAGGAGTTAAACTTGGCTCTCTTGCTTTCCATTTCCACCAGCCCCTGAGGAGCACAGGAGGGGAAATTCCATGGCAAACTGCTGAATCATCCCTGGGAAAGTATTCTAAATTGCAGAGATTTTTCCTCAAGAATTATTCCCTGAAGAACATGAAGGTAGTCACAAACATAGGAGTAGAAGTGCCAGCTGGTGACAATATGCTTAAAGCCTATTGGTTTCAGTGTTTAAGCATCTTTATGGACTGTTTTTAATCATTACCCTAGGGAAGACCATGTGCTCTCAAGCTCTTTTTTTTAGCATTTGTTTCAATGAAGGAAGTGACTTAGGGTAGTGCCACTGAGGTTATCCTAGAGCAAGTCAATGAGTCATTGACAAGCCATCAAAGATGCTGACTAATGGTGATGGGAAATGTAACTTTTTTTAGTTCCCTCTAATGTAATAGCTGAAGAATGCTTTTGTTTAACCATGGACTTTCTGTTTTCCTGATACACCATGTGTTGAGCAAGCTCACCTCAATCTGGTTATGAGCTTTTGTGCCATACAGCCATGAGTTTTTATGCCACCTTCGATCCTGAAGCATCACAGCTCTGTGTGGTGCTGAGTTGTACAGAAAGAACAGAGCTGGAAGTGCTGGACAGTGTAGCACAGCATTGGCCCAGCTTGCTTCAAACCTGGCCAGCTTGGATCAGCTCCAGATTCAAGCTAAAGAGTTTAACTGGACATAAGCTGACTCCATATGGAAAAATTATGGATGTCTCTTCAGCTCAGTGGCACAGCTTATAAAACCTGCTTTATCCCTCTATTTCTGCTGCTAGTGTAATTCAGCCGTTCATTATGCTAATATACAGGAAGTTGTTATTGAGCAAATATCCTGCTGTTATCTCTTAACAATTGTCATATATTATTGTGCCTAAATCACGTGGTGTGTGTTTTGCCACTTCAATGGATGACTAACATTTCAGAATGAGAAGATCCTGACCAGAATAAGCCATGGTCTGCTTTGTTTGTGAATACCTGGCTTATCTTTGGGTGTGGCAGCCTGATAAAAGCACTTTAAACAGAAATGAGTGGTGAGAACTGTGAGGATATCTGAAGGTGCTGAGAGCCCAGATGCCACGTGGGGTTCAAAACCACTTTGAAACTCCAATGTGGGGAACTCAGTCAGCTCTGCATGCAGGCAGCATTCCCCTCAGTCTGAACACACCTGGGGCAGGGGAGCTTTGTGCCCTCGAGGTTACAAAGTTGGTGAACTGAAAATGCTGTTGCCATTAATTGGGTTGCCAGTCTGGCACCCCTGCCCTTGATGTACTGGAGAATTTGACAGGAGTGCAAGGTAGTCCTCCTAGAATGATGCCAGGGCTCATTCTCATCCTCATTTACACTGATCTGCAAAGGATCACTTGGGTTTGTGTCTTCTCTCCACCACCCCTCTATTTTTTTAAATGGGCAGATGGAGGACTGAGAAGTTTGTGCTCTGCAGTCAGCACAGGTGTACTGACCATCCATGGATCTGAAGCCTTCTAACATTTTGGTCAGACAGGAAGAAACAAGAAGTAAACTGGGACTGTTTATTACAGCAGAAGTTTTGATCCCCTCCACATTGGAGCTTTGGTGCCTGATGTGCTGGTATCACTACAAGAGCTGCGGACAAGCAAGCTGTTTCTAATTTAGACACATAATCTGATCCAAAACAACTAAGTGCTGTCCTCAACAAGTTATTAATTGCCTTGCAGTTCCTCACTAAGCCATGCTTTGTCCCATTGTGGGGGGCAGGCTTGAAGTGTTTGTGCAGCTCAGCGGGGATGTGCTATCTCAGCACATAGTGTTCACACATTTGCTCACAGTCAGGTGATGGCACTTGTGAGGAAAGAAATTTTTCTGGGTTGTTTACAACTGCTTATTTATCTTTGATTAGCACTTTTCAGTGACTATGGGAGAGCAGTTGTTTTGAATATACTTTTTATGAAATTCTTCTGCTGACAGCCACAAATTTCCTAATTCATCAGCCAGAAAAGAACAAAGACCAAAATGAGAGATCAGACTTAACATTCCTTGGAGGAAGATTCAGAAATGAAAGAATAAATAAGCAAGCCAGACTTTTGAGTTTAGAGCTTCTATAAAGGTCAGATTGTGTTTTAAGCAACAAGCCCTTTTTCTGCAGTGCTAGTTTTGTTTTTACAGCCATTCAACTAGCACAAGCCAGCCAAATCTTGGGACATTTCCCATTGTGCAGCCTCATGGGGCCCATCTCACCATGACAGTAGCTCTAAACACTAACCCAGCTCCTCTTTGCCCTCACAAGTCTCTGGCTCGAGCAAGGGAATGGTTTTAATTAATGCTGGCTGGTTTCTGTAGATGCTGGTTGGAGAGAGGAAGGGTGGAAAATCTCAGCTACAGTAGCTGGCAGCATGGAGATGGATCTAAGCATTGTTTTGCTGTGTGGGTGCCTTCATTGGAGCTAAGCTAACTAGGGAAGACTGTAGATAACCCAAGCTGACACTGGGATGAAAGGAAGCTGCAAATCATTTAAACTCAAACAAATAATAGAACAAAACAGAACAATGTTATTAGGTTGGCTGGAAAATAGCCAGGCTTTGGGTTAAATGAGATAGCCAAAAAAATGGAGGCAGAAACTGATCTAGTCCAAATGGATAGTGAGAGGTTGGGAAACCTAACTTGTTATGAATGCCATTGTTTCTTAACTGTACTTTTAAATTTTCTTTTCTCATTTAGAAGGAAGTAGGGAAAGCACTGAAAGAAGCCTTTGATATTGGGAAACCCCCTTGTGCAGACGCTGCAGTCATTGAGGTAAACTGGGGGGAGCTGAAAAGCTCCCATACTTTGGGGCAGTTGTGTTTTTGCACACAAGCATGTGGGTTTTTGGCAAAACCAATTTTGCATGTCTCAGTCTAAGCTCAATGTGTTAAAAGCCTGCAAGCTGGCTGCCATACTTAAGCTGTGTCTGTTTGCCCCCAGACCTGTTTTTGCCCTGGGCATACATAAAGAAAAAAACCAAAAAAACCTTACTAAACTAAGGATAGCCTGAATTGATTGAAGCTGAAGCTGCATTTTCATACATACTCCTGGATCTTTACGTAACCTTTTGGAAAGTCTTGGTGTGTGTTTGGGGCACTCTGCTCTGTGTGAGCTCTGCAGAGCACCTTTATAAAAGCAGGGAGAGCTGCCTGGCCGTGGCAGGGCCCCGTGGCTGGCAGTGCAAAATGCAGCCAGGCTGGACCCTGCTTGTCCCTGCTGGGGCTGCTGCCCTGGGGCAGGCACGGGGTTCTGCAGGCACAGCAAAGGCAGGAGCACACCCTGCTGATTCGTGAGCAGCATGCACTGTGGGCAGAGGTGTTTGGATCACGACCTGCAGAAGGATTAAAATAAATCCTGGAGTTTACATATGGGCTTAAATGATGCTGGAGATCAGGGGCATGGCGGTGAGCTGTCATGACTGTATCTTTCTTCTCCATTTGCACCACCTAAGTGGCAGTCCCTGAGGGAGGGAAGTAGCTCCATGGTCCTCTGGGATGGCAGACAACCTCAGGCATTGGAAGCATTGCAGATCAACAGCAGCTGGTTTATCTTGTGAGGATACTGTTTTAGCTGGCAAGCACTGGCTTTTCTGGCCCGACCCAGGAACCAAATGCAGAGCTCACGCCAGAGATTGTTTCCTCCTTGCCTTGCTTGTACCTTCTGGAGCAATGGAGCAGTGATGTGCCCAGTACCTGTGCTAGAGTGATGTTTAGCTATTAAGATGTTTTTTTTCTTGCTTTTGGCTCACAGTGTTAAGTTTTCTTACAGGAACTAGGACAAAGCATGGTTTGAATCCCATAGCCCTCATATCTGTAGCATCTGGCAATGCTTCAAGCATGACTGGATTCACTCTGTTGTGTATAAAACTGACAGGTTTGAATGCTCTGGGGTGGGTGATGGAAAAGCCTGGATTAATAGGAAAGCCTTATGAAATTACCACCTCCTCAATTTTCTCAGGCTGACACTTAAACTTCAGATAGAAAATGAACAAGGTGTCATGGAAACTCATCAGCTGTGGTTTTCTGACACTTTGGGTATATTTTCTCCTGCCCCTTTGGGTGAGCTTTTGCATCTGTTATGAGCAGTGGAAAAACCCATTCATGATGTGAGTCACCCTTTGTCTCTGGCAGACGAGCACTGTGAGGGCACAGCATATGGGTCCATCTGTCTCCTTTTATCCAGCTGGCTCTCCTCCCCTTGCAAGCTTTTGTTTCCACAGAGCAACTAATGGGCAGCATTAAGTCACCACCTGCTCGAGGCTGCCCGAAAAGGGGTGAATTTTGAGCTGTCTGGCACAGCCCACCTCCTGCAGACACCCCTGGGCCACCAGCTGGGGTCAGTGGGGCAGGACACGTGCTGAAGGGCTTAACACAGAGCTGTGACAGGCATGAGTGGTGCTGGCTGGGAAGGTGACACCTGCCCTCTTCAGGAATCCATGTAGAGACCCTGGCAGAGGTGCAGGGCACACAGTTATGTCTGCATAACCTTCTTTTTAGTGGCTGCACCCAAATGTATCTGCCTGAGGCTGAGTCAGGTAGAAGCACAGATGGTCCTGCAGATGGCAGGACTATGTGTGAGCTGAGCTGCCAGGCTGGATGTGGCCAGCAGAGAACATCTGCAGGGACAGGCTTTTACCTTGGCTTTTACCCAAGCTGACCACAACAAAAACAGCGGTAGCAGAAGTGTAGGGTTAGGCATTACAATAAGGCTGATAAAAAATACATTTATTTCCACAAGGACTCTCAAAACTGAAGCAGAAGTTGGTGCCTAGGGCAGAGGGGTTTGCTGCAGGATGGGATGTATTCCTGTACACTGCATAGGGAACAAATTGCTTTGGCCAGTTTTCCTCTCACACATTGAAATCCACAGATACTAACAGAGAAGACAGAGACTGCCAGGCGAGTCAGCGAGAGCCTGAGTGAGAAGGTGGAAGCTGAGTGCCTGGAGGAGTGCCTGAGGTTCCTGGAGAGGTAGGAAGGATGCTGTTTTCCTCCTTGGTAACATTCATAATGGTCAAAAGAAAGAAATCCTGATTAAGCATCTGGTGATGCTGTGTTCACCTGGATTGTGATGGCTGCTTCCCATTAAGCTGTTACTGGAGAGACAGCACTTCACTGCTGTTTGTGTGCTCAATATTTGTAGTTGAACTACAGCTGAGGGAACAAAGGGCATCTGGAGTAGCTGGGACAGGATAAAGACTTGGGGGGAGCTCTGGAGAGGCTCAGACCTTAAACACACCTGGGAAGAGGGGCAGCCAAGTGTCCAGAGCCCAGGCCTGGCCCTTCCTACCCTGGCTGTGCATCCCAGGCACAGTGCTTTCTGCTGGCTCTGTGGCAGGGTGGGGAGATCTGCTTTGTCCTGGTTCTCATAGCAGAATGAGTATCTTCTCATCTGGCCTCTCACCACTTCCTCTGGCTCCCTTCATCTGCTTTTTGTTCTTGGGTATTTCTCTCCCCATGTATCCCCCACAGCAGAAAGTGGCAGGACTGCTGGTTTAGGTAGTATTTCAGGTGGAGATTTAAGATCCTTGGCCCTCCACATGATGAGAGGAAAAAAATTTCTATAAAATGGAATTGTCCAGAAGCCCTTTCTGAGATTGATAAAGTAGTTCAGAGACCTGGTGGGTTATTCATATACACTGAGACTTTGTTCTGTAGCTTTATTGGCAAAGCCTGAGCTGCTTCCCAGAAGAAAGTGTTGCAAACCAACCTCCTGCCTCTTGATCCCTGGCAAAGGTACCCAGGCAGCTCCAGGGCTTTCCCTGCTGTTCCTGTGTTTTTCTTCTCCATCAGCTGGGTAGGACAGAGACTTTGTCATGTTGTAGATCCCACCTGGGGAATTGAAACTCTGAAATAAAAAGACAAATAATCATAGAATATTTCTTCAGTTTGCTATTGATGTTAGATGTCTTATAGAGCACACCAGATTAAAGGTACTTCTTCCTGTTTTAATTTAGCTATGAAGATGAAGTAAGAAGCTTTCTCCAGCTTGATGGCTGCCCACAGATCTGCAGCAGCCTACGAATCCTGGAGAATTGCTGCCTTCTCAGGTTAGAAAACAGAGCCTCAATACATGGGGAGCAAAATGAGTTTTCTGCTGGTCTGATCTTCTTCTGACTCTGGTATGAGGCCAATCTTGCCTCCAGCTGGGTATGGTCATCCACCCTTGTGCACACCAGCCTTTAAACTCAGAGGAAGCCAGCTGCTGTCAGCAAGATTCCTTCAGAGCTGCCCTTGCTGCCCCAGCAGGAGGGAGGCTCAGATGGGGTTGTGACTGTGGCCAGGGCTACAGGGCTGTACTGCCACTTTTTGCCTGCTCCCAGGCCCTGCAGGTGCAGGGGCTGTAGCCATCTCCCCCTTCCTGCACTGAGCAGGAGGCAGGCAGCAGTGCTGTGTCATGTGTGGGGACACTATCCTGGCTAACCCCACTGTGGGTTGTGATGTTCCTTTCCTTGGCCTGATTGTCCTCCAGCAGGATAGCCTCAAAGGTTATTCTCAGATGTGTGTGTTACTGCACTTGGTAGGTGCAACCTTCAGTGCTTTGCTGAATGAAACCCTATGGAATATGCCAGGCTCTCCCTGGGGTTGCTAGGAAGGAGGGAAGCAATAAAGCACAGAAGGGTGGAGGAGGATGTTTGCACCTACAAGTTAATTTCAGAAGCACTTGCAGCATCAGAGAAAACAAGGTTGCTTCTCTTCTTCCTGTGTAAAGTTATCCCGGGATCTCTGTAGTCAGCAAAATGCCAAAATCCAACATATGCACAGTGATTACTTGACATCAGAGCCTTGTGTTGAGCCTAGGTAGCTGCTTTGTTTGTTGTATTTGCATGTTGCTGATGCTGGATCCTAGACTGAATACTTATGAGTCTCTTTTATGTAATCCTTCACAGCTTTACTGAGAATGAAGTTGTACACTGAGCCTTTCCAGAATGTAGAATGTCTGGTTTCAAGCTGGTGATAATTTTAGCCAGGATTTGCTGACTGGAAGATTGCTCTGATGGAAGATAATTGTTTGTTCTTGTATTTGTAGATTGTCGAAGGCACATGGGATGCTTACCCAGACTCTGTTTGCCAAGGCCGCTTCATGCTTGCTCATTTTTGAAAATACTATAATTTTTTATTGATCTGATCTCATTAGTGATGGGTACAAGTGGCCTTTGCATGCACTGAGCTTTCGTGCCCTTGTGGCAGTGTCTTAATGAGTGCACAAATGCAGGTCACTGAGCTACCTTTGGACTTTAGCATGTGTCCATTCAATGGCCCAGGCAGCTGTGTTGGTTACAGTAGAAAGAGTTTTGATCTGAGAAAATGGCATGATTTGATCTAATCAATACTTTCCATATTTATTTTTTTTAAACAGAACTGTCTGGCATAAGCTAACATACATTTGCAGTGTCAGCACTGACCAGAATGTTAAGGTAAATGGATTTCTACACAGGATGGAAGATGACATTATGGAGCATTTTCTGCAGACTATCACTACTAAAGTCAAGGTATGGAAGACCCATTTTAATTCTGACTATTTGCAGACCATATGGCTGGCATGCACTTCCCTCTCACGTCCTGATTTGGAAAAGGTGAAGCCACAGTTTAGTCTTCAAGCCCAGTATTCTCCTCTGCCTTGTCAGAATCTGTATATGGACAGCTTCACATTTTCCAGTTTTGGGACCCCAGTTTCACTGTTTGTAGTGTTTGCTGTTGTGGTGCCCAGACCCCAAAAGCTGAATTTCACCTAGTACCTATTCATTGCCAGCATCTGGGCATCTTCCTGGGACAGTCATAACTCACAGAGCCCAGGGTAGTGCTGGGTAGTCAGGATATAGAGAAGTCTTGAGATAAGGTTCCCTCCCTTCACACTTTCTAGTTTCAATCTATTAATCCAGACACCCTTCCTCCTTGTGTTTGGGAAACACAGAATTCCAGGCTCCTGACAGTGTGTGATCCTGTGCATTTCCTTGGGAAGCTCCCCTGAGCATCTTCAGCCTCATTGCACAGGCTCCCTCGGGCACACTGGAGGCAGCAAAAGGAGAATGACAAGAGAAACTCTGGCTACACTGTGCAGTTTTGGTCTCCAGAGCTCATTGCCAGCCCATCCCATGGGCCCACACATCTATGTGGGAACAGGGGGTGGTTCTGACAGAGCATCTGACAAACCTGGGCGGGGGAACAGGAGGCTCAGGGCCCAGGTTTGCAGTCTTCCAGGTTTGGCCTTAAGAACTTAGTACATCCTTCCTGAGTTGGAATTGTTTCTTTCTTTCATGTTTTGATTTTCTTTGAAATAAAAACACAGGATGCTGCAGTTGGTGGAGAAGTCTGTTTCCAAGAGCAGAAAGAGCAAAGACACAATAATCTGTGTCTGTTGTTTGTTTGGTGTCTCTACATGTGCACCCTTTGACTCTGTTTCCTTTCCTCAGGGAACACTGAAGGACCACTTCAAAAAGTGTGACAGTGGTTTTGACCACATCCTTGAATCCTTAAAGCAAAACTTTTTGACCTTTGGGAAGAAAAAAACTGATATATATGAGGTGAGAAATAAGTAAGTGCAGACAATATGTTACTCAGGAAATCAACTTACAAGAAATATAGAGAGGGATTTTTTCCAAGGACATGTAGTAAGAGGACAAGGGGGAATGGACTAAAACTAAAAGAGCACATGTTTAGATTAGATTTTAGGAGGAAGTTCTCTGCTGTGGGAGTGGTGAGATGCTGGAAGAAGTTGCCCAGAGAAGCTGAGGATGCCCCATCTCTGGAAGTGTTCAAGGCCATGTTGGATGGGGTACTGAGCAACCTGTTCTGGTTGAAGGCATCCCTGCCCATAGCAGGGGGAGTTTGAACTAGATGATCTTTGAGGTCTCTTCCAGCCCAAACCATCCTGTTCTGGGAAATCACTGAAACTAGTAATTGAACCTTTGGCTGGCACAGTGTTAGAAAATTAATCTAAACTTCAGTTTTCTCTGTTGTCAAATGGGCTTTTAAAGATCTAGTGGTCTTAGTCCATGTCCTGGTTTGTAAAGTACCTCTATCCAACAGGGTTGGGTAGAGACAGCTGGGACCTTTCTGTAATTTCAGCAGAGAAACCAACAAATGAAGAAATTGGAAACTGAATGCACCTCTCAAATGCAGAGGGGAATGTTGTGCTCCCTCCTCTCATACCGCTGCCCCAATACCATTATATTGGAAATCTTCCCAGCTTCTAGTATGCTTCAACCTTATTTGTAAGGATTATTGATCCCTTTGATGTAGAGTGGACACAGAGGGGTGAAATTCCAGATTATTAAAGGGCATAGTGTCTCATTCAGAGTAATTGGCAAACAACCTCACAAAGTACCCAAGGTTTTTCACCTTTACAGTAGCCTAAATAACTTTTTTAGGATCTTACAATACCCTTGAGTCTATCTCTTCAGCAGTGAGGTTGGTACCTGGGGAACCCTCTCTTTTGTGCAGGCTGGATTTGCTGTTGCTACATGTGCCATGTGTCCTCCTAAGCATTTGACTCCTAGGTCTGCAGTCTCTTTGTCAGTGATGATTTTAATTAACATTTTGCAATATGGAAAAGGTAATGGAAGAGAAAAAAGTAGGATCTATTCTGCTGTTGTTCAAAGCCTGTCACTGGATATTATGTCACATTAGTGCTGGGGCAAGCAGCAGCTCAGTGGTGAAACGCTGTGCCAGAGCTCTCTGTCTCTTGCTTTGTCTGTTTTGGACAGAGCTGGGGATTTCCTGTACCTTTGGACTGCAGCCTGACCCTGCTCTGATTTCAATTGCTAACAAAATGTGGCTTCTGTGCAGCAGCCCACCCCCCATCAGAAACGCTCACTGTCCCTGTCAGGCACTGCCTGGCCTCTGACTGCGGTTCCTAGCAGGTAGTGGGAGCTAAGAGGGAATTGCCCAGGTGACTTCTCTGTGCCCAGACACAGCTGTGTGCCCAAGGGCCCTGTGTCAAATGTGGATGCTCGAGGGAGGCTGCATCTGGCTTTGTAGCCCAAGCTGTCCCCAGGTGATGTATTTGTTAGCCAAGCCAAGTGTCACTGCAGTTCTGGAGTGTGAGTGACCTCTGGCTCAGCTAACTGGTCCCATTGCTTTTGATTTGATGTCTCCACACTTACCATCAAGGTTTGCCATCCACATGCAGCTTGGAGATAGTCCAAGTGTTAGATGAAACATTTAAAATTTATTCTTAAGCAAAGAAATGGGACAGCCATCTGCATGGGCTGAATCTCTGCTGTCTGCCCTGCTATAGGTGTGGCTGAGCCTTGCTTGGTGCAGGGAAGTTAATCTGGGTATCTTTGCTCTGGAACAGGCCCTTGTCAAGGCTGCCAATGCCATCATTATTACAGAATACATGCAGGCCCTCCTGACCACTCCCAGGAAACCATCTGTTATGCAGAGGAGGAGGATTGTCAACAAGATGGAAGAAGATCATAGGATGATGCAAGCCATCTTTAAAGAGTGCTTAGTAAGTCTTTGATATGGTTACAGTTTTGCTCTCTGTCATCAAGAACGATACCAGGAGAGGAAAAGACTCTGAAAACTACAAAAAAGCTTAAGAGTTTTTACCACAGGGGTATCAAGCTTCACTGAAATGACATTCAGATGTGCTGACAGCGCTTCTGATCTGTCAGAAGCTGTTAGTTGATAGTTTTGAAATGTGTGACTGGAAGATGCAAGTTTTGCACCGCTACCACTGACACAAGAATGAAGCTGAGCTGGTGAGACAGATCTAAAACTGCCAGCTCCCCCCATCAGGCCTCTGGTACATGGGGTGGCAGTGCTTTCCCTTGAGCCTCTGGCGTGATGAACCAAACAGGCTGCTCCACACCTCCACCTGCTCTGTGGATTGCCCTGTAAGGCTGCTCCTCCCTGGACATGGGGTGTGCATTGCTACCCCTCTGTCCAGCCTCCTCCCTGCCTACAGGCCCTTCCCGGCCTCTCAGAGATGGGATGATGGCTGCCTGAGCCATTTCTGTGTGCTGTGGCATTTCCTCATGGCAAAAACATGCTGATGCTGTTGTGGTTGCTGATGGCTGTGAGGAGAACGAGTCTTCCTGCAGGGGTAAGCGCCTCACACCATTGGGAGGTGAAGGCACATTGCAGAAGATTGGGTGTAAAAGCAGAGCCACGGAGCCACACCTCTGAAGAAAACTTATACAGAAGTGCTGGTTCTGATTTGCAGAAACAACTTCAGAAGCTTTAAAAAGTCTCAGCTCATAATCTGGTGTAATTGGCAGTGCTGCATACAGCATCTGTGGATGCCACCAGGCTGTTGCATGAGTCCCTTGATTACCCAAGGGAAGGACTGCACTGGCAGCAGTGTCTCCTCCTTCAGCTGGTCTGGTTGGAGAATCACTGCCATGCAATGTCCCTGGCATGGCTCATTAGCAGATGCAGGCTGAGAGTGCCCAGGCATGGTGCTTCATAAGGGACTGGGCTGAGCAGCACAGCAGTGGTTGCAAAGTCAGACTGGTAAACAAGACTCAGATGTGACAGCATATAAACCCCCTTGGCTACACTGGTTTTAATATTTTACAAATGCTGAGTCATTCTCACAACTTGCCTATTTAAGTGCTAGGGACTGAAAATCTATTTTCTCACAGATGAGTCCCTTGCAAGCCATACATCAGCAATTCCTACCTTGTCCAATGAAGAAAATGAAATAAAAATTATCGTCTGTAGACTTCTCTAAAATCCTCTCAGACCCATTATAATTAATGCATTAGATTCATGGCAGAAAGATGGAAGCTTCTAGTGCTTTTAGCTGAAGACCCATCTCTCTTGGAGTGATCAATGACAGATGAATTAATGCTCTCAGCAAGAGAGAGATGGGGAATAGCAGGAAGGTTCTCTAATCTTAATTCTGAAGTTTACCCGAAATGCTGTTCTCAGCATCAGCTTTGGATGTAATGTGCATGGAACAGTGCAAAGGAAATAGAAGAAATCTAATTATCTATTAAAACCCTACATTAAGCTTGGGTGAAAAAGGGCTGCATCTGGTTAGAACAGTTTCCCCAGTGTCCCCAGTGTGTGCACTTTCTTACTTGACGTGAGAACACTGAAAGCCTTGGAGCTGAAATGCACAAGTGATTTGCAGAGGACGGCCTGCTCCTTAGTCATGAGGCTCACGGTTATGCATGTGAAATATGAACTCTGCTGCAGACAGAATTTATCGTGCAGTTGTTGCACAGGCTGCACCTGCTCCCTGCCCTGCTCTGCCCTCTCTTTGGGCTCTTCCTTCACCTTTGTTCTCAAAACACATTAGGAAAATACCTTGCTTCTCTCCTAAGAGCAGTACATGCCAAAGGCACTTAAACACTGCTGACAAAACACCTCTTTTTTTTTTTTTTCCCTTTAGACTGCAGGCTGTTTACCTCTGACCTTGCCTGCCTGTGTAGGGCTTAACTAAATCTGACGCCTTCAAATTAATTAGCACTTTGTAATAGTGAGCTTGCCAAGTATGAAGCTGTACAGTACCAGTGCCTCAGGAGCCGAGTACAGCTTGTGCCCTGGGCAGAGCTAGACATACTGTGTGCCTGCAGCGCAGGGGGAGATGGGGAAGGCTGTCTTCAAATATTATTACTATTTTTAATTAATGTTCATTGCAGAGGTGCTGCATGGAGAATGTGACCTGCTGTTTCTAATGCCCCCTGCAGATGAGGGGAACCTGGGCTTCTCCTGCCCCAATTTGGCAGCCCATTCTCCAGGTTTGCTTTGTCACAGTGTCTCTGTTGACGTGCTGGCATCAATAATTCAGGGAAGCAATTTAATTGCATTGCTGCGCTGATGAAAAATGTGAGCAAGACCTGAAGCTCTCTCCTGGAGGTTCATCTGCATTCTGCTTCTCCAGCTCTGCTAAAAATGCTGTGTGTTTTTTGATGAGGCTTTTTTCTCCTGTGTGTTCCAGATTAGAGGGAGTTTGTGTGCAACATCTACCAACCATGTCATGTTTTTTACACTCTCCAGTCCTGTTTCCCACTTTTTTTTTTTCTATTAGAGGATCTGTGTCTCCTCATCTTCTCCCTAAGATTGCTTTTCTGTCCCTGGGCTTGCTTTGGGGCAGCAGAAATGCCAGCATGTTTGCCAACAAGACTTGTTTTCACATAGGTCAAGCACAGGGCTGTGCTTACGTCCAGAAGCAAACCACATCCCACAAGATGAAATGGCCCTGAAAAGGCAGGCAGTTTAGGGGAAAATGAGGTACACTTGCCAGCTTTGCCAAAGGAAGAGCAGGAGGGGACTCTGTGCTGCTGAAGGAGGTTGCCCAGCCATCCAGGTAACAGTCTGTGACTACTCCCCAGGTTATTTTCTGCTACCCTGGGGTAAAATCAGGCTTCTATACATGCCCAGACTCTTCTGCAAAGCTCCTAACCCACACAGAGAGATCCCCAGTCTGACACAAGTCCAGCTCTAAACATGCTGTGCTGTTTCTCCTGCCCTGAACACAACATTGATTTTCTCCCCAGGGTCCTGCAGCTGGTTCTCTCAAGGATCCCATAAAAGCAATTTTAGAGCTTGTTCAAACTTCTGATCCTGAGGGGATGAAAATAGCACTTCTGCCCATTCTAAAAGAATTTCCAGACCTCAGGTAATGTCTTTGATTGCTTTGACTTCTGTGCTTTCTTACATTATTACTTGAAACCGGAAGACCTACAGCAATACTAGTCCTGTGGTACTTTTGCAGTGTGCTGGGCCAGGCACAGTGACCCTTTGAATATAATCACTGGTGCCTGGTTTAAATCTTTGTCAGAGATGAACTGGTGAAGCTGAGATGTCCTTCTGTAAAAGTGGAGGAGGAATGAAATTGCTGTCAACAAAGCAGAAATGCTGTGGAAAAGTATTACCTTAATGCAGAATTTACAGGCACATATGTGTCAAGTGTGGGTTTCAAGAACTCCTTAATTTGGGCACTTCATAACTTCTAAACACTTGGCTTTTGTCTTCAACACTTCACCAAACCTTGTGTAACTACTTTCAGAAGTTTCTAGGTGTATTCAGCAAGAATATACACTTATATTTCTTACAGGAAACTTAACAGAATTGAAACACAGCTTTTACTAGGAAGGAGAGATCTTAGGTAACTGCATTTTTTCCAAAGCCCGTGGTTTACTCCATCTATCTTCTGTTCTCGTGTTCTGTGCCTGTGTTTTTCCAACTTAACATAATTGCAGTGTAAAGCTCTCCATCATAGGATGCTGTGAAGGCCAAAAGTATGAATACCTTCCAATATGGGTCAGACAATTTGTGGTAAATAATTATTTCAGTGCCTATTCAATATGACAGTCATGATAGAAACCTGCAGCAAGGGAAGTCTCTAGACTTCTGTAGGAAGAGGAAAAAAAAAAGACAAAGAGGTTATGTTATGCTTCCTCTGGCTTCTTACTTCTTTTCTACTTTGCTACTTTTGAAGGTGTTATTGAAGTAAAAAGCTGCTTATCTGATACAGCATAGCAATTATATATATCTAAAATATAGGAAAAATAGAAATACATGCATACATATATATAAAAATCTATCTATCTATATATATAGTAGAGGAAGTGGGCATAGAAAATTCTCAGAAGACCCAGATATCAGAGGAGGTCATCCTGGTGTAAGTGGATACACTGTTCTTGTCTACAACATATTTTTCTGTTCCAAACTGTTTGGCTTGGATACATTTGCCTTATATCCAATACACTATTTCCCTGCTCAGAGGAACAGTGCACTGTAGAACACAAATCCTGTAACCTTCCAGATGAACAAGAATAAGCTCCATTTGAGAGGAGAAAAGGAATCAAGAATGCTTCCAAATGGTCAAATGTAGAGTTATCTGAAACCTATTATGATAGATCTTTTTCTAGGAATAACCTAAACTGAACATTTTCAGTACTTCACAGGGATGCTGTGTGACCTAGACTTGGGGCCCATGAGCTCAGCCCTATCACACACAGCTCTTGGGATTTGGCCTCCCCCTTAGATAGCCAGAAGGTGTCAAAAAGCAGCTTCCAATCCTTGGTCTGGTCCAGCAAAACTGAGGGATAGGAAACAAGTTTTTTTTTCCCCCTTATTAACTTACTGTCCTCTTGTCCTTTTGGAAAGGAAGGAACATCTGAGTGCAGTGCTGGACATGAAAGATTCACTCAGCTGGGAAGACAGAGCTGCTCTCTTGAAGGCATTTCATGATAATTGCAGGGAATTGGAAACAGAAGCAAACATGCTCTTTGCAGATATAGAAGTGAAACCTAGCAAATGTGGACTCTGTGGCTGCCTCTGCTGTTAGCAAAGGTGGGTGTGTGTGAGTGTGCTTGTGTGTAAGGTGTACCTGTCCAGACACAGTTCTTACAGGGAGGTGGAGCTGTAGCCTCACCTCTGCAAGGTCCTCATTGCTCCATACACTGCTCTATTTTGCTCTCTCTGCCTGCAGGCCTCCACACCTTGCAAGATGTAGAGTGGTGCTGAATTCTTAGATGAGTGATTCAGGTTACAGCAGGGACAAAGGAGAAGACAGGACTGGTTCTTTCTCCCCGTATTTCACTCCCGTCTCTGTGTCCCTGCAGGTCTCTCTGCAGCATCCCCTCTCTCCCAGTTCTTACCCTCTGCATGGGCATGGTCTCCTAGGCAAGTGCTGTTGCCTCCTAGCAGGACAAGCCAAGGCTCATGTGGGGCACTTGCAATCACCTTTCAGTCTCCCAAGGGACTCCTTCATAATCACATAATCTTTTTTATTTTTTTCTTGGCAGGGTGGGGGCTAAGTTGCAGCAGATTTCAAAGTTAAGCAGTTCCTCAAGGATTTAAAATAGTGCTTAGTGGAGAACATGCAGCTATTTTCTTCACTTTAAATAATTGACAACTTCTTGTTAGTCCAAAGTTATCCAGCTCAGAGGTGGAGAATTTTGTTTTGTGTTAGCCAGGTCAGAGCCTTCAGCTATCAGTAGTCCCGCTCAGTTAATAGCTACAGATTGACAGCAGTTACCTTCTGTTGCATAAGCTGACTAGACTGAGGTTGAGAAGCACAGTCCCTTTCCTCCTGCACTCTCAGGTGTCACTATTTATTTATAGTTACCCATGTTAGCAGATCAGGGATGAGGTATGCAGGATTCTACCCTCCAGGCACAGGCAGACAGCAGGCTGCCCTGGTAGCAGGGAGAGAAAGCAATTAGAGAAACAATTAATAAGCACAAAAGCTTCCCCTCCTAATGAAAACGGATTCTGATACAATGAACTGGCTGTCAGCCACCCATGTTTATACCCTGCTTTAAAGAAATTACTCATGGTATCACCTTTGCTTTAGTAAAGATATGGAGGAATATATTTTTAAAGCATTGTAAGTTCCTGAATCTCCTGTTTGCTGAAATTCCCTGGGTAAATAGGCTCTCAAATCCCAGCAGACTCAGCTGAGTGTGCGGTGTGGTGGGCACACATGGCTAGCACAGTTTGGTGGCCTCACCTGAGTTCAGGGCTATCAGTAAAGGCATAATTAGTTATGGGATGTGCAACCTTCCTCCTTCCATCCCAGCCCTGTGATTTTGCTGCCATGCTCTGGGGTGTGACCCGTAAGCTCTCTAGAATCAGCTTCTTCCTCCTAGCCAGAAACATATTTCTCCCTCCTGTACATGGAGGTGGCAGGACTTCAGAAAAGCACTTGTTTTGGTTGTTTCATTTGAGTTAGCACAAAATGCCCTTCCAGAAGAGTAGTGAGAAGGTTTGGTTGCCCATTGATTGCTTAGCCCAGGAAGTGGAGGATTTCAGCAGGGAAGTGTTGATGCAGTTTCATGCAAGAGTGTGCGCAGGAGGGATGTTTCTGCTGTTTGACTCCTGCACATGTTCTGATGAGTGCTATTTAATCCCCAGCTGTTTTCTTGCCTTCCCTCAGGCCTGCTGGGAGAAACATGAGGACTTGCTCTGTTGTGCCAGCATCTGCAACCACAGCTCCTTGAAAGCTTCATATGCAGCTGGATGCATGGAGAAGCCTGTCAGCCATGGAAGACAAAATTCCTGCACTTTTGCAGGAAAACCATGAGGCTCAAATCCTAATCTTATATGTAAAGTCCAGGAGGAAGATAAATAGGATATGGTCAAAAGACATTTCTTCAAAATTTCCTAGAGACTGCCATTCAGCTGAGTCCTGGTGGTTATTCCTGGGATGGGGCAAGTGTGGAGGAGCATTTCTCCTCACTGAATTCCTCTGTTTCCGTCCCTTGTTCCATGAAATCTCTAATGAATCCAGGGACTGCTGCACCACATGGTGTCCCAGCATTGCAACCTCCCAAGGGATTCAAAACCTCTGTTAGGGAATATTGCCTAGCTGATTGTGCTGGTCTGGGCACCTCAGTTTACTCCCCAAAGCCTAACCTGCACCAGGAGGGTGCAGAGAAAGCTTCCTCTTCCCTCTCTTATGAAGGGTTGACCCACTTTGGGGGCAGCCTGTCATGGTGAGGTGTGGGATGGGGAGCTCTTCCTGTGTGAGTTTTACAGCTGGCTCAGGAACATAGTCTTGCATCAATTTTTATACCTCAGTAACTGGAAATTTCCTCTTGGACAAGGAGGGAAAAACCTCATGGGAAGCAGGCAGTAAAATGAGCTGTTTGTCCCAGCCTCTGGGCAAGGTCTCGGCTAGTTTTCAGATGTAAATAGGCAATTCTGAAGGAAAACCACTGACTTTTCTTCCTGGTTATCTATGGACTGGTCACAGGCCCCAAGCTGGATGTGCTTCAAGGCCCTCCTTTGCTATTGTGTGAATATAGGCCATTACTGCTCCTCTCTGACACTGTAACCAAGCAAAAAATTCTACCTCAGATGTGCCAGTGCTTTTCTGAGCAGCCATTTCCCCTTGAGTCTTCTCCCCTAACAAGAAGAGGGAAAATTTGTGCATAACGTGTCAAAGTGTGTAGCAGCAGACATGTCATGCCCTAGTACCTTGAGAAGTGCAGGCCCAGCTGGGTGCTGCCACATTCTGCAGTGCTGTGCCATCACCCTAGGGACACAGGTGCCCCATCCCAGAGCCCTGCATGCAGATGGGGTCCTGTGAGCTGGAAAGGAGCCAGAGCACGTTTGTAATTGTCATTAGCTTTGCTCCTGGTGCAGTGCTGAGCGTGGGATGAGTGTCAGAGAAGGAAGAAAAAGGTTGCTCCATCTCCAGGGAGTCCTCTGTATGCTTTCAGGGCAACACAAAACCTTGGCACTGTTACAATTTGTCCCTCATGTCGCTGAAGGGAAGTGAGAGCATCCCATGGCCTGCCTGCCCTTCCTGACTGCCTGGCTGCTCAAAAGGCCAGTGCTGGTGTCCCTAACATTTCATAGCTCTCCATTGTGCCTTCAGTGAGACCTTCCCTGGTATGTGGGAAGGCTGGGGAATCTGGTGGGGGCTGCAACCTGTCTGGGTGGGCATGGGTTGGGCTGCAGGGCTGGATGAGCACCTGCCTTCTGAAGGTTGTCAGCCCTTCCAGGCACTCTGGGCCGGTCACCCTCCCCTCCTGCTGAATTGCACATTTTTTCAAGGATGGGAAGGGATGTCAGACCTGGATGACAGACCCTATTGTGATGGCAGGGTCAGGATCAGCCTCTGCCAATGGGCATTTCAAGCAACAAACCTTCCAGAGAAAATAAATAAAACCCTCTCTGACATTTCCATCACTGTCAGGCTAAAAATAATCCTTCAGCATGTGGACAGCTCTGGCCACGCACACATCGATGTCGATGTTTGTCTGTGCTGTTTGACATCTGCAGCCAGACAAGGGTGTGCTCTGCTTGGAATCAGCAGCTGGGAGCCCTGAGGGACACCAGGCTTGCCATTGCTGTGTGCAAATCAATGAGGATTTGTAGCAGCAAGTTTTTGTACCATGTGAGAAGCATCCACTCATGGAAAGACCAAATAAAGACTTAAGTTTGTCCATGAGGTTTAATGAAGCTTTTCAGAGCCAGAGGGCCCAGGGATGTTGGCTGGGGGTGATGGGGAGAGGCAGGCTGATGTGGAGGAAGATGGTGTGGGAGGGATGTCCTTGGGCACCCACAAGTGACCTGCAGAGAGCAGATGGTGTGTGGGGAGGCAGTAGCAAGGGAATGCTGGGTCACTCCCTAGGACTGTCTGAGGTGATCAGGGAGGGGAGGAGAGGCTGCAGGGAAGGAGGATGAGGGATTTTCCTCATTTGATGGAATGGATGAGGGATTTTAACCCATTTGATTGTGTGACCTGAACTTCCCAAGTGATCCAGCTTCTTCCTTTCTAGCTTTCACCCTAACCTGGGGTTAAAGCGCTTGTGTGGGATTTGTACCACTCTCTGAAGAGGGCTGGGAAACAGGGTCACACTCAGGATCCTCCTGTAAGATTATCTTGTGGCCTTGGGATGTGGGCAGGGACAGCCCTGCCATTGTCACCAGCCTGCCAGCGCCACCACGGAGCTGTGCTATGCATCTCCCACTTGGCCTTTCTTCCAGTGACTCCACCTCTGTGAGCAGGACAGGATCACTCAGAGGTTCCCTGCACACTCCCTTTTCACTTAAGGTTTCACTGGGATCCCCTTGGCACAAGGGTTGTGCCACTGCCATGCTCACCCATCACCCAGACACACCAAGCTTGGGATGTGGGCAGGAAGGAGTGACAAGCTGCTCTGGCTCCTTTGGAAGCTGTGCTTCATCACCTCTCCAGCTGTGCTCTGGGCAGAAGGGTTGTGTGATGAGCAATGATTTGTCACCTGAGCCACACTGCTGGGGGTCAGGGTTTGGCTGGCTGCTTTGAAGTGCTGCTACAGGGCCTCACCAGCCAGTCCCCTCATTTGAGCTGCCATCTCTGAAGGTCACCTTCAGGGCTTGATGCTGAGGGCAGTGGAAAGCAGATGCTCCTTAATTATGCTGCAAGGTCTGAGGAAAGATCTGACATTTGCTGATGTGCTGCCTGCGCTTCCCTGGTTTATTTAGTCATATCCTTTGCCAAGGGTGTGACAGGGAATGGAGGGCTTGATAGCAAAAACCACAGGTAATACTCTGGGACATGCTGAGCTCTGTTGGATATTAAATGTGCATGAGGAGAATCAGTTCCTAAAACTGTGAAACCTCAGAGAAGGCAAACTTTCTGATTGCAAAATTATGTAGTAAATTGTGTTTAATTCTAGTCCCTCTCAAGAGGAGCCATATTCCCTGTCATTGATGGGAAACTAATATGTTAATCCCAATATTAATCAGAATAACTTTCACCCACCTTTGAGGCTTTCCTCTCCAGCACCCAGCTGGGAGTAATGCCTGGTCCACAGGTGGGGAAAGGGGGGGTGTGTGGCAGGCAACATGGCAAAAGCCACCACAGGCTATTCCCCTCAGCACATCACTAAAGGTTGGATTTTAAGGCTGAAATGCCTGCCTTTACTGCAGCACCATGAAGGTCCATGAAGAAAGGAAGACGAGGAGACACTGGCGTGTGCTGAGGTCTCTGATTCTGTAGCAAGGAAGGGCTGGGCTGCATTCCCCCAGTTTCCCCCAGTGGCCCTGGGAACACCGGGGCTGGGAAGGGCACGCTCCTGGTGCCATCTAGTGGCACTGCGACATGGAAAGGGCCGTGGCTCCCTTACGTTTATTATTTGCCTTGTTCTTATGGGGCATTACAGGGAAATATGCCTATGTGATGTATCTTGTGTGGGCTGTGAGTGGCCCCTTAGCAGAGTGTGAGACTTGCAGGACAGCAAAACGCTGGGAACTCAACTCAGCTGTAAAGTAGGATGCACAGAGCACTTAGATGTGTCTGCCTGCCAAATAACCAGCAGGTTTAAGGGAAGATTGTGAAAGGCAGTGATGAGCAGGATAGGTGAAATGTGTCCTGTGCTTTACAGAAAGAGCTGGAGCTTGTGAGTGTGGAGAGGAGAGGTTGAGAGGCAGTGCTGCAGAGCCAAGGACCCAGGAACCTGATTTTTTTCCCACTCCACAGCAGCTGGGCTTCCTGCTGCAGAAAAAGGCTTTAGGATAAGGTTTTAGTTGGCTTAATCTGACCTAAGGCCATATGGACACTTGAAAAAAACCTCACAGGGGTGAGGTTTCTGCCCTCACCCCTGGGTGCCTCCCCACCAGCTTATCATATGGCTCCAACTGACAGCAAATTAGCAGCTAAAATAAATAATCCTGCATCAGTTTGCCTTTCCTATTTGCTTTTCAGAAGCCCTGGTTCCATCTCTCTGAGCTCCAGCTGCCAGATTCACACCTTCTAATTCTCCTGTCTCCTATTGCTATCCTGGTTTTCAGCCTGGTCCCAGCTGTCCTCTCCAAGCTTCCCCTTGCATGCTCCAGGGGCTGTGGTTGCCTGTCCTGTCCAGCTTGGCTCACACAGCCTGTATGAGGCCATTGCCTATTGTCCCAATGGGCTATTCTAAAAGGGGTGCCAGTCTGGCAGCATTTTTAATAAAAGGACTGAGTTTAAAGCAGTTGCTGGGAAAACCCCTGTGTTTCAGGGCTGGGAAAAAGTACTTGCAAGAGCAGACTGTCTGGAGTTGTTATATTGTGTACCCTTGCAGGGTTTTGGAAAAATTGTAGAGTTGATCTTGGTTCAGAGATGAGTATTAGGTTTTTTTCTTCACTGGATTCTGCCCTCTGAACTTCTCCACACTGGTCTTTTGTGACTAACAAAGTGGGCTTGTGCTATGAGGAATGATGTCATTTTATTCCCTTCCAGTGCTGAGAAAGATTCAAATTCTCATTCCCAGATGCTTGCTGCAGCTCCTGCTGGTGGTGCCACATGGTCCATGGCCCATTATGCCCATGTCTGCTGGGGTCTCATCCAGCATGGTCCAGACTTTGGAGGGAGATGAGAGTTCGGGAAGTGTGGGAACTCAAAATGTCTCTCAGACATTTTTAGAGGTTCCAGGCCTTGGTCAGAAGCATTCTAGACCCTGGCAGACAGCTGAAAAACAGCTGTGATTTTGAGTTTGAGCCATGGAATGAATTACCAACTTTGGAGGTGGAACAAGCAATCACAAAAGGTTAGATAGTATAGTAAAAGTAGTTACAAAGTAGAGGGGAATTTTTTTTTAGTATTGTACAGGGGGGTTTTAACACTTGTACAGGGGGGTTTTCACTTTGTACATGGGGGTCAGAAGTTCTAAGATGGAGGAAAGTGGGCTGATCCTGTTCTTCCTCCTTCTTTTTCCTTACCTCCATGTTCTTGGTGATGTTGGCACTCACAGATTGGTTTAGAGTAGAAAAACACTTGGCAACGTAGGTAGTAGGTATTGGGGAATAATTGTAAACATGTTATACGTAATAT